GAAAAGAAAATAGAATTTCTTTTTTATCGGAAGGATCAAGAAAAAAATTGGGTCCGGATCTCCTGCGGGAATTATTTGGAAGATCCAAAAAGAGTGGTATTTGCTAGCAACAACATAGTGGAGGCAGTCAATCAATATAGATTGATCCGAAATATGATTCAAATCCAATTCCAATATAGTCCCTATGGGTACATAAGAAATGTATTGAATCGATTCTTTTTAATGAAGAGACCTGATCGTAACTTCGAATATGGAATTCAAAGGGATCTAATAGGAAATGATACTCTGAATCATAGAACTATAATGAAAGATACGATCAACCAACATTTATCGAATTTGAAAAGAGTCAGAAGAAATGGTTCGATCCTCTTATTTTTCTTTCTCAAACCGAGAGATCCATAAATCGGGATCCTAATGCATATAGATACAAATGGTCCAATGGGAGCAAGAATTTCCAGGAGCATTTGGAACATTTCGTTTCTGAGCGGAAGAGCCGTTTTCAAGTAGTGTTCGATCAATTATGTATTAATCAATATTCGATTGATTGGTCTGAGGTTATTGATAAAAAAGATTTGTCTAAGTCACTTCGTTTCTTTTTGTCTAAGTTACTTCGTTTCTTTTTGTCCAAGTTACTTCTTTTTTTGTCCAAGTTACTTCTCTTTTTGTCTAACTCACTTCCTTTTTTCTTTGTGAGTTTCGAGAATATCCCCATTCATAGGTCTGAGATCCACATCTATGAATTGAAAGGTCCGAACGATCAACTCTGCAATCAGTTGTTAGAATCAATAGGTCTTCAAATCGTTCATTTGAAAAAATTGAAACCCTTTTTATTGGATGATCATAATACTTCTCAAAAATCGAAATTCTTGATCAATGGAGGAACAATATCACCATTTTTGTTCAATAAAATACCAAAGTGGATGATTGACTCATTCCATACTAGAAAGAATCGCAGGAAATCTTTTGATAACACGGATTCCTATTTCTCAATCGTATCCCACGATCAAGACAATTGGCTGAATCCCGCGAAACCATTTCAGAGAAGTTCATTGATATCTTCTTTTTCTAAAGCAAATCGACTTCAACTTTTGATGCAAAATAGACATCTAGAACTCTTATACCATGTTTTTAAGTAGAATCGGTCGAAAAACATTGGCATCAGTACGGGACTTTTCGAAAGTTTATCGGACACCCCAATTTTCTCGGTGGTTCGTCTCGACCGGCTACCGAGGAATTGAAAATCTCCGAGTGATTTCGAAATTTAAAATAATTTCTTCGACTATCTGCATTCATATCTCTTCTATGATGGTTTTAAGTAGAATCGGTCGAAAAACATTGGCATCAGTACGGGACTTTTCGAAAGTTTATCGGACACCCCAATTTTCTCGGTGGTTCGTCTCGACCGGCTACCGAGGAATTGAAAATCTCCGAGTGATTTCGAAATTTAAAATTATTTCTTCGACTATCTGCATTCAGATCTCTTCTATGATAGTTTTAAGTAGAATCGGTCGAAAAACATTGGCATCAGTACGGGACTTTTCGAAAGTTTATCGGATACCCCAATTTTCTCGGTGGTTCGTCTCGACCGGCTACCGAGGAATCGAAAATCTCCGAGTGATTTCGAAATTTAAGATAATTTCTTCGACTATCTGCATTCAGATCTCTTCTATGATAGTTTTAAGTAGAATCGGTCGAAAAACATTGGCATCAGTACGGGACTTTTCGAAAGTTTATCGGACACCCCAATTTCTCGGTGGTTCGTCTCGACCGGCTACCGAGGAATTGAAAATCTCCGAGTGATTTCGAAATTTAAGATAATTTCTTCGACTATCTGCATTCAGATCTCTTCTATGATAGTTTTAAGTAGAATCGGTCGAAAAACATTGGCATCAGTACGGGACTTTTCGAAAGTTTATCGGACACCCCAATTTTCTCGGTGGTTCGTCTCGACCGGCTACCGAGGAATCGCGTACTGATCGGATCAGTTTTCGTTTTTCTCGGACTTCCGCGTACTGATCGGATTTTTTCTCGATCAGTTTTCGTGTTTCTCGGACTTCCGCGTACTGATCCGACATTTTCTCGATCGGTTTTCGTTTTTCTCGGACTTCCGCTTACTGATCGGATTTTTTCTCGATCAGTTTTCGTTTTTCTCGGACTTCCGCGTACTGATCGGATTTTTCGCGATCAGTTTTCGTTTTTCTCGGACTTCCGCGTACTGATCGGATTTTTTCTCGATCAGTTTTCGTTTTTCTCGGACTTCTGCGTACTGATCGGATTTTTTCTCGATCAGTTTTCGTTTTTCTCGGACTTCCGCGTACTGATCGGATTTTTTCTCGATCAGTTTTCGTTTTTCTCGGACTTTCGCGTACTGATCCGACATATTCTCGACCAGTTTTCGTTTTTCTCGGACTTTCACGTACTGATCAGACATTTTCTCGATCATCGTCGATCAGTTTTCGTTTTTCTCGATCTTTCACGACATATTCTCGACCAGTTTTCGTTTCTCTCGGACTTTCACGTACTGATCCGACATTTTCTCGATCATCGTCGATCAGTTTTCGTTTTTCTCGGACTTTCACGTACTGATCGGACATTTTCTCGATCATCGTCGACCAGTTTTCGTTTTTCGTTTTTCTCGTCCGGATATGTTTTTCTCTCGATCATCGTCGATAAGTTTTTGTTTTCTACCGGTTTCAATTTTTTCGGATTTTCTCATTCGGCTGGGATTTTTCCCGATCATTGGAACTCCCGGTTTCGATTTTCTCGATGATCACTGTCAGATTCGATATTTCTCGACTGTTAGCTCCGTACTTTCGATATTTCTCGATCTTGTATTTCCGGTTTCGATAATTCTCGATCTTTAGCTTCCGGATAAGATATTTCTCAACCTTTAGCTTCCGGATGAAATGTTTTTTCACATTTCAGCTTCCGGATGAGATTTTTTCCCACCTTTAGCTTCCGGATGAAATTTTCCTCGACCTTTAGCTTCCGGATGAGATATTTCTCGACCTTAAGCTTCCGGATGAAAGTTTTTTCAACCTTTGGCTTCCGGATAAAATTTTCCTCGACCTTTAGCTTCCGGATGAGATATTTCTCGACGATTAGCTTCCGGATGAAATTTTTTCCCACCTTTAGCTTCCGGATGAGATTTTCCTCGACCTTTAGCTTCCGGTTTCGATAATTCTCGACGATTAGCTTCCGGATGAAAGTTTTTTCAACCTTTGGCTTCCGGGTAAAATTTTCCTCGACCTTTAGCTTCCGGTTCCGATACTTCCCACCTTTAGCTTCCGGATGAAATTTTCCTCGACCTTTAGCTTCCGGATGAGATATTTCTCGACCTTTAGCTTCCGGATGAAAGTTTTTTCAACCTTTGGCTTCCGGATAAAATTTTCCTCGACCTTTAGCTTCCGGTTCCGATACTTCTCGACCTTTAGCTTCCGGATGAAATTTTTTCCCACCTTTAGTTTCCGGATGAGATTTTTCTCGACCTTTAGCTTCCGGTTTCGATAATTCTCGACCTTTAGCTTCCGGTTTCGATACTTCTCGACCTTTAGCTTCCGGATGAAATTTTTCCCCATATTTAGCTTCCGGATGAGATTTTCCTCGACCTTTAGCTTCCGGATGAGATATTTCTCGACCTTTAGCTT